GAGAAAGTCTCGGCATGCGAAGAGGCACTGCTGACAGACTTGCCGGAAGGCGAGTTGGGCCGGCTGGCCAAAGCCCTGAAAGATTACAGGAAGCTGAAGGTCTTGCGCCTCATCAACATTGAGGTGGGTGAAGCAGAGGCCGAGGAGTTCTGCAAGGTGGGGGCGCCGTGCCGCGAGGGCGCTTGTCTTAGCAAAAGCTGTTTTCAGGCACTTGGGCTGAACGACACCATCACAAAGCTGGAGATCAAAGTCGCTGCATCCCATCGAGAACGGTGTTCGGCTCTGTGGAAGGCACGAGCTTTCACGGTGACAGAGATACGATAGCTTGCTCCCGGCCCCGTTGCTCCCCTGAGAGGCACTGGCGGATGCCTTGAAGTGCAACTGTACGGTCGCCCACATCGACCTCAGTAACAACTGGATCGGAGCCGAAGGTGCCAAGGCCAGGCGGTGCCCACGGCGCAGCTTGCAATTTCGACCCCGGCTTTTTTCTGAGAGGCATTTGCAGATGCTTTGAAGTCCAACTGTACAGTCACCGACGTCAACCTTTATGGCAACTGGATCGGAGTTGAGGGCGGCAAGGCCAGGCGGTGCCCACAGGTTCTTCGCAGCTTGCAATTTCGACCCCCCGCTTTTCCGCTGAGAGGCACTCCCAGATGCCGTGGAGTCCAATCGCACCGTCACAGTCAAGCTCGGCAGCTTCCAGCTCCTCGGAGGCAAGGGCGCCAAGGCCAGGCGGTGCTCTCGGGGTTCCAGGCGGCAATTTGCATCCCGCAGATGCTCTGAAGTCACCCCACCCGCATACTGTCACCCGCATCGACCTCGCATGGAATCAGAGATGATAAGGTTTGTCCGGCCGTGGGGCACCCGAAGCTTCGGTCAGCTTGTGGCTCGATCTGAAAGTTGCTGCCAGGACGTCGAAGAATCGTGGGAGCACTTTGAAGATGCAACGAAGTCCCAGGTCGGGGCCCTAGCAGTCCTAGCATCCTCCAAACTGCGGGGTCCTGCCTACTGTTCCTGATGCTTTGTTATGTGCATCGTGCGCCCGGGTCTACGACATACGGATCTTCAGCACCTCCGGAACTCCGGAGACAGCAGGCTCTTGCCGGAACTCGGTTTACAAACTCACGAAAGAGGCAGAGACCTTGCCTTGGAGTGCGCATCAGCCGGGGGCGAGGTGGCTGAGGCCTTGCAGGTTCTGGCCGGGCCTGCGTGCCGCTTTGCCTAGGCAGAGCAGAGCAGCTGATGTTTGAGGGAGTAGTGACCCGAATCCGTGTTGCACACTGCGTGCCAGTTGGCCTTTGCTGGGTGGGTCCCAGCGATGAGGTCACGATGTGTTTATACACTGACGTGCATCGCTGATTGCAAGTGCTTGGTTCTTCTGGAGGGCATCTGCTGCCTGCCGGAGGATGACTAAAAGTACTCTTCGTGGGGCAGGTTGATTATTCCCGACAAAAACGGTTCCACCTGAGACGGTGGCCTGTGGGCGGGAGGGGGGGGAGGGGGAGGGGGGCGGGGCAGGACGGCAGGACTGCACTGTCAGAGCCGCAAAACGAGCCTTCCCCAACCAGCCTTAGCGGAGCTCTGCCGAGGCTTGGACGGGGAAAGTGCGCATCAAGGACTGCTGTGCCGTTCTCGGGCAGAGTCCGACGTGCTTGGATGCATTGTGGTTCCCGTGCCAGGGCCTCGCGTCTCAGCTGACGACCAACAGCGGCACCACCCATCTAAATCTTGGATTTCAGCACATCACAGACGAGGACTGCCAGGCGCGGTGCGCGCCCGGTATGCTCGCAGTCAACAATCAGCCATACATGCACCAAATTCGAGAATTAATGTCTTTGTGGCTTGAGTCCCGTCGCGAGGCGCAGACGTTCCAAATGCTCTGACGATTTGGGATGTCAGTTGCAGTCACCTACATCAACTTCGGTAGAAGTAGAAACCAAACCGGAGACGATGAGCCCGGCCCGGCGTTTCCGCTGAGAGGCGCTGGCAGATGCCTTGAAGTCCAATCGAACCGTCATCCGCATCGACCTCCATTACAACTGCATCGGAGACGAGGGCGCCAAGGCCAGGCGGAGCCCACAGGGTCTTGGCAGCTTGGAGTTTCGACCCGGTGTTTCGCCCGAAAGGCACTGGCAGATGCCTTGAAGTCCAACTGTACAGTCACCCACGTCAACCTCTGCGACAACCGGATCGGGGGCGAGGGCACCAAGGCCAGGGGGTGCCCACGGGGTCTTCGCAGCTTGCAATTTCGACCCCGCGTTTCTTCTGAGGGGCACTGGCAGATGCTCTGAAATCAAACAAGACCGTCACCGACATCAACCTTTTTCACAACGAGATCGGAGACGAGGGCGCCAAGGCCAGGCGGTGCCCAAGGGGTCTTTGCAGCTTGCAATTTCGACCCCGCCTTTCCCGTGAGAGGCACTGGCAGACGCCTTGAAGTCCAACTGTATAGCCACCCACGTCAACCTCGGATCCAACGACATCGGAGTTGAGGGTGCCAAGGCCAGGCGGTGCCGGCGGGGTCTTCGCAGCTTGCAGCGGTTTCGACCCCACGTTTCTTCTGAGAGGCACTCGCAGATGCCCTGAAGTCCAATCGCACCGTCACCCACGTCGACCTCCCTCACAACAAGATCGGCAACCAGGGTGCCAAGGCCAGGCGGCGCCCGCGGGGTCTTTGCAGCTTGCAATTTCGACCCCGCCTTTCCCGTGAGAGGCACTGGCAGACGCCTTGAAGTCCAACTGTACAGTCATCTACGTCAACCTCTGCGACAACCGGATCGGGGACGAGGGCGCCAAGGCCAGGGGGTGCCCACGGGGTCTTCGCAGCTTGCAATTTCGACCCCGCGTTTCTTCTGAGAGGCGCTCGCAGATGCTCTGAAATCAAACAAGACCGTCACCAAGATCAACCTCGATGACAACAAGATCGGAGACCAGGGCGCCAAGGCCAGGGGGTGCCCACGGGGTCTTTGAAGCTTGCAATTTCGACCCCTGCTTTCTTGTGAGAGGCAATGGAAGATGTGCAGAAGTTCAACCATGTTGTCGTCGTGAACATGTAGTTCTGAGGCCAGCACTTTGGTGCATCAGTCGATGCAGCGGAGCACAGGGAGTAACACAAAAGAACAGGCTCGATTGTTTTCCTTACTCCTTTTAGGGATGCACCAATAGTCGCCGCCAGGGCCTGAATCTAGTAATAGCATCATATAGTGTCATACTACCTACTATCATAGTACTATTCCCGTGGTACTCGTTTATCGGTATATCGTATATCAGTATATGGAATGATGAAGTACCCAGAAGCCATAGACCAACACTGAACCATGTAATGTCAATGTCTTAAGCCACTGTCGAAGTATTCAGGTCCCGATCCTGTCTTGGGGCAAGGCCCACTCCCCGAGGGCTTTCCCATGCAAGGTTTCTCCCTGAGCCCAGAGAGGTTTCGCGCCAGAAGCTCTGGAAAGTCGGTCCCGTTGACAATCCGATTGCAGCTTCCGCTGAAACCAGCTTCCGCATTGCTCTCGCCTTGTAAGCCTTAAGCCCTTCTACGCCAGCTCCCCCAGTTCGTGACGTTCGTGGCGAGTCATTTCTGCATCATGGCGGCTTCTCAAGACAACGCTGTCTAGTGCGAGGCGGAACCGAGAAAGGGACTGAAATTACCCGTTCAACCGTGGGAGACTAGAGATACCATGTGCGGGGTGGCTCTTGTATTAAGCCTATACTTCTTGTCATATGGTATGATCTTATGATATATACCTCTCGAGGTTTGGGTCGGGGTTGAGGGTAGATCTCGAGCTCCCAGTTTCACTCGTAGCCCGTCGCAGCCAGACCAGAAGCACCAGGATGCGGCCGCCCCTGTCTAGGCAGATGGGTCTTGGGGCATACTTGTTCAAACCCGGCAAAAAACTCACGATATTTCCCTAGACCGTCAACCTGCCGACTCTTCGCAGCAACCTGTGCTTCGTAATTCACTTTGCGCAGTGAGTGATGCGACGGCCGTGCTACCCAAAAGAGCTCATGTGCATGCAGGGTTGAGGGTTTCGGGCTTTGTATGAGATTCCTAAACCCTAAGCAAACCCTGAACTTTAATCTTTAAGCGCGATCGGCCTATAAATCCTAACTTAGCCCTAAGCCGGTGTACCCTTACGGGAGCGCTGAGGGCCCACCTGCAGCCCTGACAGGGCGTAGGTCCCTGAAAAGAGCTTCCGGGGCTTTGGGGCCTCCGGAAGGCTCTGGGGCTTCCGGGCCCTTATAGGGGTTTAGGGGGCTCGGGGTTGAAGAGGCTTAGGGTTAAGAGCCCTTAGGGTTTAGGGGGGCTTCGGGTTCAGGGCTCTTGGGGGTGTATAGGGGCCTTTTCCGGCATTGAGGGTTTTTTTTGGGGCTTGGCTTGACGAAGAGCAAATGGGGCCTTAGAGTTCAGGCTTAAAGCTTTGGGGTCAGGATGTTGGGCATTCAGGGAAGCTAAGGATGTGCTCCCCCTTAAAACCTTACTGCTGGCTCCCAGAGCCCAGGTCGGATGATCTCGCGTAGTAATCGCATTGCCGTCCTCAATAAACCTAGGAGCGGTTTAGGGTTTAGGGTCTCGCAAGACTGGCAGGAGCCCAGCGAAGCATCTCAGGCTCCCAGGGAGAAGGCGTAGCGACACGGGAGAGCATCATGTCATAGTAGAGTATATAGGCAACCATTTACCTTCTTCGGGGTACTATACTCCTTATATAAAGGTTAAGCTTTAATTTCCTAAGGCATCACGGCCAATGAAATCGAGACCCACCGGCTCCCCAACCTGAAGCACCCAACGAAGGCGTGAAGCCGATGACCTTACCGGAGACTCCCAACTAACGTCTGAATCAAGGAATGCTCCTGGGAGGCCAAGTGCAGTCTGTACAGTGACCATAGCACCCTGAATCCTGAACTTATAATGAAGGGATTTTGAAGTTCCAGGGTCTGGCATAGTGCCGTTTGGAACCCCATTGCATCAACGTGGCCACGCTCTTCCTGGGGAGAAGATCGCTCCGTGGCAGCGCTTGGTTGTGGGTCTGGGTGAAATGCGCTGGATAGTTCCGTTTTTTTTGGTCCTGTATATAGATAGGATCCTTGCTACTAGGAGGGTCCCCAGGCGGACCCCAATTTGGAAAATGTCCCGCACAATGATGCGAGCCTGATTATCAAGGGCGCCCAACTATCTTCCATCCAGTGGCATGTCTCGGCTAAACCCTGAACCCTAGACGCCTAAAGCCCTAAACCCCTAAACTCTAAACCTTAAAGGCGTCTTTAAAGTCGCTGCTGCTGCAGCCTTGCGCTCGTAAAATCTCCGTCCACCTACACCAAAAATTCGATCTGGACGGAAAAGACCCCTCCACCACAGTCGAAACATGAACCCTGGAATCTAAATTCTGCAACCCTGAGCCCTAAACCCTAAACCCAATGTAAAATCTCTATCGGCTCCTGGGTCGGAAGCAGTTGCTTACTGTAGCCTCCGTGGGTAGACTATCCCTGACCTGCCTCCTCCTGCTCGTACCAGTACCTGGCAGTATTTGCAGTATTGCGTCTTTCTACCCGCCAGTGGCGCCAAACACCACGAGTTTCGATTCCTCCCAGTAGAATATGCGTAGTAGTATCATTGAAGCGACCCTCACAGTAGTGCCAGTAACATTTGTATCTCGTGCCCTTAGGATTGACTTGCGGGCGCCGAGTTGCTGAACTCCCGGTAGCTTCTCTTAGTTCATCAAGAGGTGTAGCGTATTGTCGCACACCAATATGTCTTCTGATAGAAAGGCAAAGCCGTGAACGAGCACGTTGTCAGGAAATGTTAGTGCGAATCCAGGTTGCAACGTCGAGCAATATTGGCATCCCGCTTGGGTGTCGATATAAGTGCCTGTAGTGTTGGTGGTGTGTTCATGTCTTCTTCGGGTGCTCACCTTCCGTTGCATCGGGGCTGTCGACGACAGCCCCCCTGCACCTAAGTAGAACGCATGAGAATGCCCTGCACATCAGTCTTGATTTCCACAGTTCAAGGGCGATCTAAAGTCTAGACAAAAGGACCCTCAGAGGGACACTAACTTACGGAGCTACCCATCTAGATAGCTCTCCAGCTTCAATTTCGAGGAGTCGTTTTTGAAAGAAACAGAAGCTAGAAGCCTTGGGCCGGGAGTTCAGCAAGTCGATATGGTGTTTTCAGCTTGTTCGATATGCTTGCTCTTTGTGCAGCAAAGAAGGTGCCAGCAGAGTTGCCCCCTCCCGATTCTAAGCCGTAAAGCCCTGAGTGCTGCTACTACTAAACGCTTTAAGCCGGTAAAGACAGGTCGCAGATGGGGTGCAGAAGCAGCACCAATGTCTGCAGCCATTGCTCTGCACAAAAGGTTTGTTTCCCATCCGAGTGCTTTGTAGGGTGTTTCTCAAGGGTCCGTGCAATATGCTTTTTGGCACCCTCGCCCTAAACCCAACACCCGCAAGCCTGAACGTACTCTGCAGGAAGCCGTTGAGGCCTAAGTACATGCTAGATGGGTGCACGGACCCTTAGAGTGTCAGAGAGTTTCATTGGCCTTCTACAGGGATTCGAACGGCTCGTCTGGGTTGTCCTGCACCGGAAACCTGTGTTTGAAGCTGTTGGATGCTTACATGTTGGTACAAGTCTGAAAGTCCCTCGCAAACGGAATGTGCAGCACCAATCATAGTCAGTGAACTTTTGCCTTTCACGTGGAAAGCGTTGACCTTTGGGAGACACGGGTTATCTTTCCTCTCCTCTGTGATAGGATTATGCACGAGTAAGGCAACGATCAGATTCATGACAGTTCATGGGGTAATGACACTTCGGCAAACAGTACTACCCGTAAGCCTTCAAGCAGGATTTCCAGGTCGTTCAGATATTCGGAGGCTCCACGTTTAGGGTTTGGGCCGACCTTGCGGCCAAAAGTCTGTGCGCATTCAGAACTTGCTTCTTGCTTGTTGGAGCCCAGGGGTTTAGCCTGGCCTTCCTCACAATGCCTGTCTGAGGTCAGTACGAGGCGCTGAACACGGAGGCGACGCTTCATCATCAAACCCTGTTTTTCAGGGCTTATAGGGTTTCAGGTCGGGATAGCCGGGATAGTTGCAATGCCCGATGTTTAGCTGTACTTCATGAACGGTTTTCAAGTCCTTCAGTAGAGTATCTGGAAGAGATCTGGAGTTAGTAAGTGGGTTGCAGGTATGGTTGTAATTCGGTTGCACATGCGCCTGAGCTCCAACATGCAGTCTGGTTTGCACAGAGACAGCCACAACCATCCGATGCCCCAGAATATTGTCATACCGCTTTCTCGTTGGACATTCGGAGGCGGCTTATGGAATCTTTGACGAAAGTGAAACCGTACTGCTCGAGGGTCAGTGGGGGCGTGTTCTCGAGATTGATCCGCCACCCGAACTCCATAACTCCATCACCCCTACCCCTAACCGCACCATCCCAATCCTCCCAACTGTCTCGAGGTGAAGAGGGAGGAGGCTCAAAAAGCCCGAGCCGAAGAGGCGGAGGCCACGCGGCACGGGAGCTCATGCAGCGGTTGCGGCTGCCAGCAGGTTTTGCCCATGAACGGCTGATTTTCAAACAGTCTGAAGCTTTGCGTGTTCTTTTGCGGGCACGTAGATGAGTCAGATGTTGCTCTCATAAACGCATTCCCGGTGCAACCTTCTCTCTGTGCTGCCGAAAGCCAAGCGACAGGCAGAGGAGGAGGAGGAAGAGGAAGAGGAGGAGGAGGACGAGGAGGAGGAGGAGGAGGCTGAGGCCAAGAAGCTGGAGGAGGCAAAGAAGAAGGAGGACGCCGAGAACGCGGTTTAGGAGTGTAGTGTTTAGGACAATAATTTAATGTGTTGTGTTTCAGGTTTTCTGCTTTGGGGCCTCGGGTTGTACTGGGTCCTTCAGTTCAGGGTTTGCTAGTCATCCAGAACCCAACCGTGATACTTTTGAGCATCTGTTGGTAGCATCATCAGTGGCGTTCCCAATTGCTTTGTTTGGACATCGTGGACGTCGATCTTTTGGGCTCTCTCCTGCGGACTCTGCGGTTGACGATTTGAA